TATATATATATATATATATATATATATATATATATATATATAGAAATGTTTATATCTGATTTCTTTCAATACCAAAGTATTACACATATATCGTACACATTCATTTGTATTTCGCATGTATGTATCTACATACGATCGAAAATAAATATATATGACATTATATACAAGCATTGTGATCTGAACTTATTAGTAAATTTATGGACTGGAATCGGACTAAATGTATAATTGTTATGTATGTCTATTTAAAGCCTCATGTGTACATATCGTATACGTGGTAAGAGAGAATCTCGATATCTCTTGTATATATAAAAAATATATTCTAGCTTTACATCACGTGCTATGCTGCGTGATGAAAACAGGTGAATATTTTTAATGTCTATCAGGCGAATATTTTTTTAATGTCTTATGTTTGCGATAATATCACGTAAGATTCCGATTATTTTTTTAAATTTGCATTTTTTGTTCACACATACAATATACAACTAAGAAAATATGTTCCTCTTTAATCAAAGAAAGTCATGATATCGTCGGAAAGGTATCTGCTTCTTTGCATCGTCATAGATTCGATTAAATAAATTTTACAAATTGTCACAAATATAAAAATATCACGAATATTTTATAAATAATATATATTTATACGTTCAGATCGAAGCGATCTTATGTTAGGATGTTAGTCTGGGCGGCAGCAGGAGGGATGAAAATTAAAAATTCTGCAACGAATGTAGATAACAAGAAATTGAACAATAAATTCTCATTGCGTTCAAAGTATCAATACATTGCATAGCAATGCATTAACATGTTGAATCGATCAACGTATGAATCATTTATCATCAATGGATGCGTAGTGAAATTGGAGATTGATGGGATGGTGAAGTGATAAAAAGGGGAATAGTGTGAAAATACGAATATATATAATATATATTCGTATATTATATATATATATATAGAGAGAGAGAGAGAGAAAGAGAGAAAATTCTATTATACTGCGGGACCGGCGGCATTATCCTCGTCGGAATCAGGTAAAAAGTCTTTGGTCCAGTCTTCTATCCTGTCCACATTTTCGAGGGTTGATGCGAGCACTCTCAGATTATCCACACCGGACATTAATTGTCTGCAAAGGAATACACGAAATTTCGTTTAGATTTGAAAAACTATGCATCTCTTTATTAAAATAGACAGTATTCCATTCTAAAATTATCAAATGTTTCAAATATATGTTTTTGTAATTGATAGTAGTCAAATAATGAAGGATACCTGAGGGATACTTCAGCCGACGATGCAGCCGCGAATAAATCACGCGCAAGCCTTCTAATTGTACGATTCATATTAACAGCACCAGCATTCGATTCACTTTGTCCAGCCGCAGAGATACCAGCTCGAAGTTCACTATTCTCCAGTCGTAGTAGAGATATCTCTGTCTAAATTAACAGATTTGCAAGTCGATACATCAGAATGTGTTATAATATATTCTGTTCCATTATAGTCGGTCAAACATAAACAATACTAACATAAACATAAACAATACTAACCGTTAAAACTTTAATCTCTTTTTTCAATGATGTGACAGTACTTTCAGCATTAACTGCTCGCTTCTACGAAATACAAATAGAATGTTGTCATCGTTTCTCAATGGCACATAATGTAATCAATATGTAAGAATTCCAATTTGCCAATTGAAATGCAAATCCTTATCTTTGTACTTACTGTACTTCGTTTTAAGTTATCTTCGACTTGCTCCATCGCTTTTTCCAAGTGTACAGTTTCTTCGTGCTCCACTTCCTTTTTAGATAATAATTCTGCCTCCAATGAACGAATTCTGCAATTAACGGATCGATATAAACTGAAATTTATTCCAGCAAGGTATAATTACCTTTCCATTTTTTCACTAAGTTGCCTTCGAGATGCCTCTAATTGCTGACGTAATCTTTCATTTTCGAGCAAAAGCTGTAATAACATATAATCTCGAATTCTCTCCACTTCCTCTATTTCCTTATTTATGAAATTGCTGCATTACACAGTGATCTTACCCTTCTTTCTGTAGATTCTGTCATGCTCGCTGTAGGTTCTGAATCTGACGATCTATGTATAGGACCATCGCTTAAGAAGTCTGGTAGAGATTTGTGAACATTCGTTTCACCTCCTGATGGAAGATCGCCTCGTGCGGTTGTATTTATACTAGGATTGGAGTCAGGAAAAGGTAATGGCAAATCAAATGGAAATCCTATAAAAGAAATGCCTCTTATCTTCACAAACTTAGCAGGAACATAATTGTATAATTTGAAAACATGTCGGCAAGATACCTCTGTGTTCAGGGCGAGGAAAGATAGGTGTAGTTTCGTTGAGTCTATCCTCGAACGTAGGTAGGTCCAAGTGATTCGAATGCATTTGATTTTTTGTATTTAATGCAGAATGATCTCTGTGTGGTAAGCCTTTGTGCAATGTATCAGTGAGATCAAACGATCGTAGGTCATCGCACAAGATATCAGAGTCGTTCTTTTTGGTCTCGTTCCGTAATCGAGACTGCCTTTGCTCCATACTGTTCAATGCAAAATCCGGCAGATTATCCATATCAGGTAGTATTGGTTGACTATTCTCATGATTCAGGTAACACTGTTCAATGACCAGGTGATCCTGTACAAAGTCTGGCAGTTCCGTTGGGTTTCGGCCGGAATAAACGCCGCTGCCGACATTATCTTTGTCAAGAACGTTACCAGGACTTGATGTGGAGGATGAATAGACTTTCGGCCTTGCCCCGGTATTGTGATAGTTGGTTTGCTGCATGCCATTCTTTAAGAAGGCCTTAAAACTAAAGGGATTGTTGTCGCGACGCGACGACGAGTCTTGACCTGCGAAAAAAATCATTTTTAGCTTCCACAGTCAGATGAGAAAAAGCAAAAAACAATCCCCCGTCAAAGCGTTTGCGTTGATATAATAAATAGTATACAATGATAGTGAAATTCTAACCTGTCGACTGCTCGATGGAGTCGGCGTGACTCCTGCTGAAACGGTCCGACGTCGGCGACGGGTTGTTCATTGATTGGGTATCCTGGCAACGAGCGGAGGATATCATTTTCTCCTCATCGGACGACGAAAACGGCAGAAAAATCATTTCATTTCCCGACAGCGACGAAGAGTTCTTACACGTCGCTACGCAGGGCGTCCAGGAGGAGGTCGTCTTCTCCTCCTCCTCCTCGTCAGACGACGAGGACCACAAGTGGCGTTGAGACAACCGACGATCTGGATCGTCGGTCCTCTTACGGCTCGCCATAATTCGGGTCGACGCTACGATCGAGTCATTTGCGACGCTCGTCTTCGCCGAGAGAAGTACGCGCTCGCTTCACGTCTGTCACTGTCTGTCTACCTGCCTGCTGATCGTGTCAGGTTAGGTTGGCTCGATCAACAACACTCGTCGATGCTCTTTAATGTGTGTCCATCACTCTGCTCCCTCTGCTCCACTCACTCCGCTTGTAATCATTCACGACGCGATCTTCGCACTTCGCAGTGGTACACTGTGCGTTTAGCCGGCGATTTGTATGCTATATTTAACTTAAAGACCTAAATACAATAAATAAACTGTTTACACCGTCGCGACCTTCGTGTTTAGATCAAATATAGAGTAGGAATAATCGTAAACTAAAAATGCGCTTTCTACAGTTAAAACAGTTCGAAATGATATGGAGATATATATGTAGTTTCTAAAATAAAAGGAAAGATACGAAACGTAGAAAGATGTAATTGAACGAGTGGAGTGAACAAGTTTTTTTCTCGCATGACTTTTTCATCAGTGATTGTAATTGTACACAGTTCTTTCTCAGCTAATAATATATCGATGCATCTCTCTCTCTTTCTCTCTTGAACGATTTGACATTTCATTTAAAATTGACATTTTAAGAGGAAGTTATTGATATATATTCTTATGCCTTATTGAGCAGCCTACTGTATTTACGTTGTAACTTTGAGGATCTGCACGACGCGCTTAGCCCATTGATTCGATATATAGTCTTTGGAAAGATGGTGAATATAAATTTATAATTTTTATCTGTTAAGGATTATTCACTGGAATAAATAATAATTGTTTTCAATAAATGACGTATAGTACCTAAAGAAAATTTAGAAAGTACAGATTAATCATATAGGTGTGTTTAATTGGTTTTTGTTACAGACGGATATCTATTGTATCTCCTGTAAACAGTTGTCTGATGATAATCACCGAAATGTGTTTGATGAAAAATTGTTGCTTAACTTACAAGAAAAAAACACACATGAGAAATCTGACGGATATATGACACTGAGGGATGCTATCGAATTAATTACTGGTCATACAGTGAATATCATATAATAATTTATATTTTGTTTATTATACACATATATATATATATATATATATATATGTTTATACATATAACAATTTAATGTAAATACATATATATTATATTGCTCTTTTTTAGATATCAGAGATAGATAATGCAATTTTGTGTAACAAATGCTTTTATAAAGTGGAATCATATATAAAATTCCGTTCTCAACTTGTTGCTTCATTTGGAAAATTAAACATCCAAATATCAGACTGTGATTCACTAAATTTAACAAGTGTGGATACTACGAATACTTCACTAATCTCTAAAATAACTACTACAGGTTTGTTTATAATAAATGATTAAGACATGATTAAGACAGTTATGTGCATATATTATATTATTGCATATAAAATTTCAGAATCAGAAATATTCAAGGAGATAATAAACATCAATGAAAACAGTGTTTCCTCAAACTGTAGCATTAATGTAGAGCTATCGAGTAACGAGACGTCATTATGTTTATCAGATTTCCATCATTATGTTGATAATGTCTCTGATGATGTCAGTGATATTGATGATTATTTGAATGTTGATATATCTCATTCAAAGATTCAGAAGAGTGATATAGAATCAGATATAAATGTATGTTCTTGCGAAGACGATGAAGTATTAGAATTACCTGTCGAATATAAACACAGTGAAGTTATCAATATCAGTTCAACAGAATCAGAGGAAGATTACGATTATGGACCAACTTTCAAAAAAATTAAGCTTTCCAATCGAATTTCATCTCCAGTGATATCATCTTAATGTAATAATTTATGAAGATTGTACATAATTGTATGTTTAATAAGTATAAGATAGATCGATTGAAGAAAAAATTTTTTAATAATTCAATTTCAAATGTTATATGCATGACAGACTTAGAAATAAATACGTCACCATTTAAAAATAGCAATCAAAAGATATTATAAAAAGTATATAGTGTCTATACATATACATATATGTGTTGTGCACCGTCAGGTTTTGAGATAGGGAAGCACCAATAATTAATTGCTCTGTATATATGCTTAAATATAATATATATCGAATAGTGCATCCTATTTTGTGTAATTTATAAATTTATGTTAAACACGATTATGAATAAAATATTATTTTAAAGTTTATTTCTTAAATCCATATATTTATTTTAATATTTCCTATATTTCTGGTAGATATATTTAATTTGTAATTCTTATTACAGTTAGTCTGCTTATTATAAATTATCTTTTTTTTTATAAAAGAACTATAATAATAGTATGATAAAAACACCGTACAGCTGGCCCATTAGCTCAGTTGGTTAGAGCGTCGTGCTAATAACGCGAAGGTCGCGGGTTCGATCCCCTCATGGGCCAAATTTTTTTTTCAATATTTTAACATTTGATTGATATATATACATATATATATTTATTTATTTATTTTGAGAATTTAATATTATATTAATCAAATTACAAAGAAGCGTACTGGACTTTCAAAATAATTTATGAAAACTACATAGTACTTGTAAGTGAATATTTATAAAACTTGGCGAGTACATTTTTAATTTTCTAATTAGTGTATATATTTATGTCTTTTTTGAATCTTTAAAAAAATTATGAGTATTTTTGCACTATAAAGTTCACATCGTTTTTTGTTTCACATTACTAAATATATATAAATAGTACATATCAGAACATATATATTTTATTTTTTAATATATAATTGTGAACGTGAAACATTTATCCTCAATGGCGCATTTTCGATCCGGACTCCAAATTTTCGGTTTAATCTCATTAAACGTAAGACTTGATCTTGATTAATGTCTGTATGTAAACAGTATGTTAATATATTCTTAATTTATTCTCAGAAGAATAAATATAACCCCTTGTGGCAACAATCGTGGCAGTACGCCAAGTCTATCTGTTCAAAGAAAAATATTATTGATTATAACAGACGATCAGTATCAAAGACACCTAAGCATTATGGTGAAATTTATTAAAAAATTTATGGATCATTATATGCATAATAAAATTAAAAAAAGCTCTGTGTTTCTAACATAATTATTTCAATATATTTGAATAGGAGTAAGGAAAAAAATATGTTTTTTGAACATTCAAAGAACATCATCATCGACACAGAAGAAACTCGCAGAACGGAAATTGTCCCTTTGGGAATATGTGTTTGGTCCTAAGAAATCTTCAAAGAATCCTTGCGCTCACCAGCTGACCAATTGTCAAGAACAAGCGTGTTCCAAGAATTTGCGTTATCAAATGGCATCTAGGAATGTGATCTACATCGATCTGATTAAATCGAAAAATACGAGATTTACAGAACCGCAGCCTAAGCCACCACCCTCGTACAAATTGCCCAGAGCTGTTTTGCTGAACAAGGCGATAATAGAAGGTTTCCCTAAGGTAGCAAAGAACATTTAGTTACAGTACAGTTACACTTTTCTAGGCTATTTTCTCAGATTTGAAAATCATTGACAATTTAAGAAAAGGAGATATTATATTTTATATTTTTTACAGACATAATTGTAATGTGTTGTATGTGTTTTCATATTATTATAAGAATACATTATTGATTATTAAAAGGATGATAAAACTTGTGAGGGTAAGACGGTTACACCTACAACGCCCAGAAAACCATACGAAGAAATGAAGCCGGATTCAAATAGTTTAAATACCAAGAGAACCACCGATCAGCATCAAAAGAACATTAGATCAAAGAACACTAAATCATATCCTCCGACCTATGAGAAATTTCGTATGTCGATGATACCAGTATCAGACTCGGCGAAAGCTCGCGATATTACAGCGAAAATATTGCGTCAGGCGATGGCACAGGAAGAGCCACAAATGCATTCGAGAATTGAGCAATTCAAAATTTTAACGAAAGAGATGTCCAAGTCCAATAACATGCGTCATAAATAGATCCAAAGTGTAAAAATTCCGATAAATAATTATAGGTATATAAATAATAAACATCTTCGTGAGATCTTTAGTTTCTTCTTAGTTTTTTCAGTTTGATAAGTCCGATAAGTTGTGTAATTATAAGTACGCAAAATAAATAAATGGTTCTTTTACACTTTGAAATTTTGCTCCATATATCCACACACACACATATATATATGTATATATATATATATATATATAACAGTTGTGAAGAGAGAAAAAATCAAGTGGTAAAAAGCAAAAAATAGGAAACAATGAGCACATTGTAGAATAGGGTTAAAGAATACGTCAGAAAGAACGGATCTTTGTTATCGATCATGATGTTGATGCGTTATAGGATAATCGTGTGTGCCGCTAGGTGGCTCAGCTGCGGCTGCGAGCTGCGAGCTAGTTGTGCGCGTCAATTCGCCCGTTGATTGTTGATTGTTTTATCATTTTCTCTTTATTGTTATTTGTACTATCTGTAGAAAGAGAGTATAATTAGCGAGTCGTGCGCGAATATCTTCCTCGTGGTCACGAGCAAACTCGGCAAACGCCGGAGGAAACAATACCTCGTTATCTATCGTTATCACCGGACGAGTCTCCCTATCGAACATAACCGCTGTATCGATCCGACACATCGCTGCCTAGTCTGTCCGCCTGCCGCAGCAGCGTACACGGTAAGAGGTTATGTTGACTTCGACAATTCGCACCGCGCGATCCTCGGATTGCAATTTGCGATTGCCCGATATAAGGTGCGGATTGTAAAGATTTAGAGAAACGGATTGCATTTTAGTATTGCGTTTTGCCGCAGACACAATTGGTAAGAAAAATGGTGCTCGCTTCGAGACGCTCGGTGACAATTGCACGTGCAACGAGTCGTAGCATCGGGCTCCTGGAACGGAGCCCCTTCTTGCCGTGAAAAAAATATAATGCTCTGTCGAATGTCGTTGTCGCTCCACACCAACGTGGGCTTCCTCCGCAGTGCCGGCCACGGAGCAGACCACAAATGTCTTGTAAAGGAACTGCCGCCATCACCGCATGTACATCGAGACGACATAGTCGCGAGAAGATTAGTTCCGAAAACGAAGGAACGGAATGCGCGCCCGTTGATGCTCTTTTTGCTTCGTCGAGAACGGAAGAAGTCGGTAAGAGGAATCAAAAAACAAGAAGAAATGAGAATTGGCAACAAACGGTGACTGGAAAGGGTGTTGACGTCGTCGAGACGGTAGCTGACTTTGAGAAATGGCTTAAGATGCGTAGCACGGAACCGCCGGTGCCATCGAGTATGGACTTGGACGCAACCAAGATGGTAGAGGGCGTAGACCGATATTTGGGTGAAGAGGTACTATCACATGGTTGTTTTCTGAGCAAAGATCCATATGGTTTGTCCATTGACATCGATTTGGCAGACACTAAGAAGCTTAATCTGTCGTCAAGCTATGATCCGATATTACAGGATCTGACGCACAGCGAGAATCGATTATTGGAACCACCATGCGAGAAAGTCGTCGACGAGTTTATACTACCAGAGTTCCAGCTGGATCATTTGGATCCACTAGTGACCCTTACGCCGGATGACATGATAGTGGCTGGTGAGATTCTACCGTCTGCGAGCAGCCAGTCAATGATAAGTGTAGAAAATCATGATGTTGAACAAAATACTCCAAAAATTGGAGTTCCTGTGCAGAACAATGAGACACCCTGTGAGAAATCCACACAGGTTACTCTCAATCAGCTACCAGTGAATATAGTCGTGAACAAAATGGAGGATATAAAGACAGAACAGGAAACTGTAGTACAATCTTCAGTAAGTTCCTCGGAGCTCTTCATTGGGACTCTACCATCAATAGAGGAGAACTCGTCGAATACTATGACAAATTCCATGGAAATAGATACGCATGGTATGGTAATAGAACAATTGAAGAAGACAAAACTTGAACCTCGTATCATCAAGAAACGTCGACAGATGACAGAACGACTAGAGAAGAAGCTTGATAAGCATATTAATGGTAAAAGCTTTGCCATTGACACAGACTCACAGGATGGCATGATGGCTGTGGTTGCTATATCTACTGACAAAACCTCCAACATGACACAGATTGTTATCAATACTGGCACAGAGAAACAGATCTATCAAGGCAAGACTTCGGAATTGATTGAAGCAACAGGCAATTTTCCAAAATTGCCCAAGATAGATACTTCAGCCGCAGTTTGGAATGGCACAGTTGAATATGGTACCGATAGTAATCCAAGTAATCAATATGAAATTGTTATATCCAATGCACTGGAAGAATTAGGTATCACCGACGATAGCCTGCAACCTTTGTGCACCACCGAACACGACAAGGTGTGGCTCTGTCCACGAGACGGTTGCAACAGACAATTTGGTAGATTGTACACTCTGAAGGGCCATTTGTTGGCCCATTATGGAGTTAGACCGTTTAAGGTATATTATATAAAAAGATATGATATTTATCTTCTTTCTTTAATCTATTTTGTCATAGTGATATAAATTTTGCAGCAAATAAAATAAAATAAAAGTGTTTAAAGTTAATTTTGTGAACTAGCTCTTAAAATTACTCGACATATAATCGTGTTCTCTTTTTTTCATTTACAATTGTTTTAATTGGCAATATTTTTGCAGTGTGACTTTGAGGGCTGCACTTGGGCCTTTTATTCAGAGTTCAAGCTGAAAAGACACAAGGAGACACATCTGAAGCGCAAGGATTATGTGTGCGAGGTGGAAGGCTGCAATCGTCGTTTTACTACCGTCTACAATCTATGGAGCCACGCGAAGTTGCACAATCGTCCTAATCGGATCGTGTGCCAGGTGCCAGACTGCGGTGAGAAGTTTCAGACGAAACGAGCATTGGAACTACACATGAAGTCGCACGATCAACGTCATGCACCTTACGTGTGTCAGCATGAGGGTTGTGGCAAACGTTACTACAGTAGCAATGCATTGACGTCACATCAACGATCACATAGCTATAAAGAAGTGGACATCAAGTGTTCGTGGCCGGGTTGTGGCAAGATTTTCGACAAGCCTTGCCGACTCAAAGCACACATGCGGTCTCATACCGGCTATAAACCCTATCCTTGTACTTTTCAAGACTGTAAGTGGGCTTTTTCATCATCCAGTAAGCTTAAGCGCCACCAAAAGAAGCACACGAACGAGCGTAAATTTGTGTGCGACGTGCCGGATTGTGGCAAGGCATTTATGCGCTCGGAACATCTGAAGGAGCACCGACTAACGCACACGGAAGGCCGCTTTTTCCAATGCTTCGTGTGTGATGCCCGATTCTCCGCCAAGAGCAGCTTGTATGTACACATCAAGAAGCATCAGCAGACTAAGCCGGAAAACGTAGCCAATGATATGCTCGAACGCACTTCTGGTAATCAAAAACGTACGAGAACAAAAGAATCTCATTATTCGCGAGTGAAGCCGTCAAGTAAGTCGAAGCGATGGAACACGGAACTGATAAGTGCTGCGGAGATTATCGCGAAGGAAAATGAAGTTGAGAAGCAGAGTGCTAGTACATGTTCCCAGGATGGGGATCAAATGGAATGGCTGTATCGTTGTCCGATAGAGATATGCGGACATTTAATCAGCAGCGAAACGATTCTTCGTGAACACATGTTAAAAGTACACGGTATACAATGCGACGATTTGTTGACTAAACCATCTTCGAACGATGTCGACATAGATTACGTTTTATGTACCGTGCACAGTTCGCCAAGTTCATCCACTGTCGTCGAAGAAGAACAAATGGTCATGGTGACTCCGTGCGATGCCGTCATTCTTGATACCTTTTCGTCAAAAACAGATCATTGTTTGCCAGAACCGGAACCGCCACCTTTCAACTCCTTGCTGAAGAGCTCGGAATCGTTCCAAAATGATACGCAAAATGAGCGGATTGACAAGGAAACTGTATCAGTGAAGGAACAGGGTTCGGCAAGGACAGATCTAACATATTCTGATTGGTCTAAATTGAAGAAGGACAGTACATTGACGAATTCGATAGTAACGGAAACGTCGGACGTTGTATTGGGCACAAGTGATGATTTAAGCGAAGGTCTGTTGCTCACAGAAGAGCTACCGTCGATGTATTATCAGGACGACGTGGCGGGTACGGAATATCAGGTGCTGTTATTAGATTCAAGTCCGCTCGAGAGTGCCAGTAATTTGCGCGGTCTCGAGTGATTTTCGTGATGGACGCAAGTAATGATTTTTACTATCATGATCCTGAGTGATTTTTCGTGATAGAGTGCTCTCGATCGAGTGATTACTGTATAATTATTTTGGACATGACGTGATAATCATAAATATTTTAAACGTAGCTTAAGAATGGCATAATAGTGATAATTTTGAATAATGATGATCGTTATTATATTAAACATAGCTTTTGTAGTATGTATACGTATGTATGTGTGTGTATGTGTATATATATATATATATATATATATATAACTTTAACACGATCTGTGATCCAGGAGCTGGCCTCAGCCTGATATTCATTTGTACTCCGCGGCTCATAATCGCTTTAAATCGTTATTTTATTAATAAATCGTTGATATTTTTCCATAAAAATCACTATCTGTGTATTTCATTACTGTCGCTATCCGATTATAACATGCGTTTCGAAGTCATATATACTTAACAAGTAATTTATTCGTCTATTTTTTTTCAGCGATTCAATTTTTCTTATAATATACAGCATACACACACGCGCGCGCACACACACGCATGTATTTATAAAATCCTCTCGCATTCATGATCGATACAATTCAATAATATATCACGTTATGGAAAGTTTATGTGACATATATTTTTTCTAAAATAGTGGTACTAAATTACTCCATAATAATCTCTACAGCAAGTGATAATAAAAAAGTGTACAAAAATGGAATATATAAAAGGATCGATATTTTACAATTCTTGATTGTTTTATGCTGCGAATTTATATGTGCTATATTTTATTAAACAGTTAAAAAAGATAATTGGCTGCATATACAGTAATCATATAAACGCATCATAATAAAAGTTTAGCTAGATAGGAACTCTCGCATGGAACGAATATTATGTGTTGAGCTCTATAATAATGGAATCTTCCTTAAAATCAAATTTTGATATATTAATTATTTCAGATTGTATGTGCAGCCTTATGTAAGCATCTTGCTTTTACATACTTTTCATTTAGCATCGTATCGAAATTTCTAACTAATTTACAATAAAGACAATCACTAATTTATTAATTATTATATGTTATTAAATTCTAAATTTCGATATAAGAGTATTAAAATACCTATAACCTTGATTCTTATAAATAATAATGCTACTAATAATACCACCAGCTGATACAAAAGAACGTTTATATATCTTAAATATACAATGGTCACGTAATTTGAATGAATTTAATAATGCGTTTAATGTTTTTTAATGTTATAAAAATAATATGTGAGATAAATATTTTATATATATATATATATGTAACACCAAATACTAAGTAAAAATATTAATTCGTACAATTCATATGTAATGAAATACTTGTGTGATTACTGTTTCTATTTTCTTCTCAGTGAAATTTTTACAACTATTTAAAGAAAAAAGGAAGACTACTATTTTTTACATGAACTTTTACTTGTACTCGATGTAAATAGTAAATAATTGAACGTATCCAGAACAATGATTATCATAATAACCGAATTGAAACGTTCATAAATATTATCAGCTAGGCTTCTACGATATTATAATTAAAATAATTTCTAATATACGAGTAATTTGCGTGGAATGTAATCTCCATTTGGAAACGATAATTAATATTAAGGATGAGCGATACAGAAAAAAAGCTCAACATTTCGTATTGCAACGTATCATAAGCAGAAATATTGATTTACCAAAATATCGATTGAATAATTGCTAATATGGATTCGATATTTCTATTTTTTAAGCATTTTATGCATATCAATTGCAAAAAATCAATCTTTTTGTAAAAATAATGATTAGATCATTTTTGAGGCTATTTCATCGATCTTTTTGAATTCTAATCAGAATT